GAATGATGAGTGTGAGCCACTTCTTCCAGCATTTTAAAATTTTTAACACAGGTTCTGGGGGATTGAACTCGGGCTCTTATGTTCATAAGTGTCCTAGTTTGCTTTTTGTTGCTGGGATAAAACATTGACCAAAGATATCTTGGGGAGGAAAGGGTTTGCTTGGATCACAGATCAGAGCCCAACAAGAAGGGGAGCCAAGGCAGGAACCTGGAGGCAGGGATTGAAGCTTACTGGGTTGCTCCCCCGACTTGCTCAGTCTTCCTCCCTCCCTCCCTCCCTCCCTCCCTTCCTTCCTTCCTTCCTTCCTTCCTTCTTTCCTTCCTTCCTTCCTTCCTTCCTTTCTTCTTCCTTCCTTTCTTCTTCCTTCCTTCCTTCCTTCCTTCTTTCTTCTTTTGAGACTGGCTTTCTCTTCACAGCCCTAGTTGTCCTGGAACTCACTATGTAGAGCAGGTTCTCCCTCCCAGTGCTGAGATTAAAGGCATGCCCCACAATGCCTAGCTCAGTTACTTCTCTTACACAGCCCAGGTCCGCCTGCCCAGGGATGGTACCACCCAAAGCCGACCCTCCTTCATCAATTAGCAGTTAAGAAAACATGTTCCTAGATATGCCCACCGACCAATGTGATGGAGGCATTTCCTCAGTTGAGATTCACCCTTCTCGTGTGCAAGTTTGTGTCAAGTTGACAAAAACTAGATGGCAATCAGGCAAGCACTTTCCTGAACTGAGCTGCTCCACCACCCACCCCTTTGAGTTCTGGGTTATAGCATAGGTCACTACATCTACACATTCCCTACTTTGTAACAGGTTTCTCGATAGAAAGACTTTCTTGCTTATATTCTTACCTCCCACCACATGCTGCATTGTAATATGTTTTACTTCCAAGATGCTAGATCAATACTGTAAATATAGCTAATGAATTAAAAAACACCAATTCTAAGCTTATCCCAATGGATGACTAGGTTGCTCCAGAGACACTTTATAAATGTCACTATTATATTTAGATGAGCCAGACAAAGTTAGTTGCAGCCATAGGAACAGTTCTGGAGGTTCTGATGAAATTGCTCACAGATCCTGTCCAGACAAGGTTGCTCCCACTGTGAAAAGCAAACTTGCGGGATGCCTCTGCCAGCAGCTGTACTGCTACCAACTTGTGTTTGAGGGAAGAACTCGCAGCCTGGCTCCCATCGCGCCACCCCGCCTCCCTTCTCATGTTTTGCCTCCTGTTTTGTTTATGGAAAAGCCTACAGTCTTGTCTTCGAATTTCTGAGTATTATGAGTACCTTAGGGAAATCTGATTATAGAGATAATCTACTCAACAGTGAAGAGTTTCAATTTGTTTCTATTGAGTTTTGTCAATTCCGAATCCCGGATACCTTTGTATTCCAGTCCATTGACTGGAGCCTCCCAGCCAGACGTTCAGGCATCTGTTTCCATAGTCTCCGGAACTAGGAAAGATAAATAAGAATGTGAGGGAATTATCTGTATATTTGCTAACCACCAATTTAGATCTAAATAGACTCCCTCTGTTAGGAAGACTAATGAATTCCAATTCTCGGAAATATCCTTTGCTTTTAACAAGCGAGATGGAAGGTATGGAAAGAAGAAAAGAGAGGCACGCAGAGGGAAGAGCTGTGAATAATGCCACCAGAGAACCAATTACACTCACCAGCTGGCACTGGGAAACTTGTTTCTTTGACAAAAAAAAAAAAAGATAGTTAGTTTTAGCCTCAAACTACTTCTTGACATTGCATTCTTTAAGACGGAATGATGAATCTTCCTAGCCACCACTATAATATTCTAGGACAAAAAAAAAGTGTGAACACCATTTCTAGTTGTAAAACAACAAAGCAATAGACAGGAAGGGGAGAAATGAGAGAAAGCATCACTATGACTGGCAATCAGAGTCAGCAGGATCAAACAGTAGCACAAAAGAGCCATGGAAACAGAGGGAGACCCTCTTCCCAGCTATCCGGATCAATGAGAGACGTTTATAGGGTGCTATGGCAGCGACTGAGAAATCAGTAAGAACAATGGAGCTGTTCAAAGGAAGATGATATTTCCATGAGATCCTCACAGGTAGAGGAGCTTGCCTCCAAGCCCGAGGAACTGCGTTCCATGCTCAGAACCTACATAGAAGGAGGAGGAAACCAGTCCCAAGGTTGTCCTCTGACCTCCACACTCACATCACGGCACAGACACACAGACATCAAGTGTAATTTTAATATTAAAGAAAAGTATTCCTGTGAGTGTAGTTAACAGCTATGTTTCCTTTAATATAAGCTGCATTTTGGACGTTTTAAAACTATGTGTTTGTAGGGAGTCCTCATTGATTGTAAGTAAGCCTAGCATTACTTGGGTAAGTAAGGGATGATCTATTCCATAATCACGTGGCTCATACATTTCCCAAAGAAGGGAAGTGAATGGTATCCCCTAATCTTGGGCTCTCAATAGAGGACTTAAAAAAAACTTCCAGAACCCCCGCTGAGCCAATCTTGGCTGGGGGTCCCCACTGGTCCTTCTGCAAGCTGTTCCTTGGGGAAATATTTGTGAATTCAATCTTTTCACTTTGCATACCACTTTAAAACCTGCCTCTCTCAAGTATCTATTTAAAGTCCATAAAAATCTGTAGAACCAGCGAGTTCAAAGCAGCTTTTGTTGAGGCTGGAAGCAGGCTCCTTGTCTGCCCACTTTCTTCTTTCTCACTGTACCTAGAAATGCATATTCAGTAGCAACCCACTTTCTTGACTGTAGAAAGGGGAAACTTTAATCCAAAGAGCTTATTGTGTTTCCTTTGGGCTTGGGAGGTAGCTCAGCTGAGGAGTGCTTGCTTAGTGTGCAAGAAGCCCTGGGTTCTTTTCCTCACCCTGGCATAAACTGGGCATGGTGGTGCGTGCCTGTAAATCCCAGCACTTGCGAGATGGGCTGGAAGGAACAGAACTGATGTCTTCAGCAAGAGCATTTTAAATCACTAAGCTATCTCTCCAGCTCCCTGATTAGGTTCTAAAGACTGGGTCTCACATACTTAAGGCAAGCCTGAAGCTAACATACATAGCAGAGGATGACTTTGAATACTGGGTCCTGCTGCCTCTGCCTCCAAAGTTATGGGATTACAAGGAGTGATGAGTTTGTGCTTCAACTTTGATACATTGCTTAGCAATTCATCCATCTGCCCTATGTTTCCTGGTCCTTTGACATGCAGTTGTTCCCAGAGTCTTTTATGAATGTTTGTGTTTCTTTGGTATGTGGTGTAATGACTTGGGGCTGGTGAGATGTCTCAGTAGGTCAAAGCACTTGTTCCACCCCAGAACTCACAGTAGAAGGCAGGAACTGATTATTAGAAGTTGTTCTCTGACTTCAACAGGTATGCCACAGCATATACATGTCCACACAACACACACAAAGATGATGATAGTATTTTAACACTATATTGCCTCGTTTTGTCAACCTTGTTTACCTTTATACATTTAAAAAATTTTTAACTTTATTTAAAGCATATGAGTGTTTGCCTGCACATATACCCATGCACCACATGCACGAAATGCCCCGGGAATCCAGAAAAGAGTGTTAGATCCTGGAACTAGGTTTTCTGGAAGAGCAAAAAGCTCTCTTAACTGTTGAGCCACCTCTCCAGTCCTAGAATATTTATATTTATTGTGTGTGTGTGTGTGTACATGTCTTTATGTGTGTAGCTGTTTATGCAGGCCAGAAGAGGCCAGAAGAGCTCTAGAAACTGTAGTCACAGGTGGTTGTGAGCTGCCAGATGTGGGTAGGAGAATCAAACTCAGGTTATTTGCAAGAGCAGCAAGGGATCTTAAATGTTCAGCCATGTCTTTATCCCACGTGAAAGTTTTTAATTTTGATTTAAATAATCCCACGTTTTTCATTTGTTGCTTCTGCTTTCATATCTAAGAAAACATCATGTGATTCAAAGTCCCAAGAATCTGAGTTTTCTAGTCTTAGCTCAAACATTCAGACTTGTGATCAATTTTTATAGTTAATAGTTGTTAGATACTACATGTGTGAAATAACTCTTCTTTTTTAATCCCATGAACATCTTATGTTTGGACTGTCCTTTACTAGGTAAGATAGGAAAATGCTGGCAAAGAGGATTTCGTCATTGTTGGTACTGCTGCTGTTTGGGGGAGGTCTCTGGCAAAAAGTCGCCAAGAGGCTGGAGAAACGACTCAATGTTTAAGAGCACTGGTTGCTCTTCCAGAGGGTCTGCGTTCAATTTCCATAACCCATATGGTAGCTCACAACCATTTGTAGCTCCAATTTCATGGATTCCAATGTCCTTTTCTGGCTTTTTATGGGTACCAGGCATGAAAGTGATGCTCAGATATATATGCAGGCATAAGTCTCATACACATAAAACACTTTCTTCAATTAAAAAAAGATCACTGAGTTATTGCAGACATGGAAAATCACATCTGTTGTCAAGAAAGTATACCTCACCTATATTGAGCTCATCAGTCTGTTTCACAAGCAGACAAATTTAAACACAAAGTAACTTAGCAGAGATGGCTTCACGTGTCAGTGAAGGTAGCTTTCATTGAAAGATTATGAATAATATCTTGATTAGAAGTAGGAGCTTAGTCTCATCTTTTGAGCTCAATATTGGCTAAGACTTACATATCATTTCTTTTAGTTTGATTAATGGCAGAGTAACTAATTGGAGCTGGGAAAGAGATTAGAAAATCACTCAAAATGTTAAGTGCAGTTAGAGTGCTATTTTGTCCTGAATAATAGAGCCGCATTCAAAGCCACAGGTGTGCGTGATAAGCGGGAAATGAGAATACTCGGTATCGAGGAGGCTAGGTAATGTTTTTAAAATCAGCCTTGGTTGGTTGGGTTTGATTTTCCTCCCTCTTAAAACTGTCAGCTGGTTGCACTTCCCTCTGATAAGTGGTGTGCTGAGATTTCGTGGGGATGCTCCCAAACTTGCCTTTGCTCGCTCATGTGCTTAGATTCTGTGTGGATGCTCTTTTCTTACTCTACAGGACGTACAGAATCAAAAATTAAAGACAAGCATGTGGTACCGAGAGGTAATCGATTCTCCTTCCCTCTCTGCATGCTGGGTTCCTGACTGGGATCTACCTAAAATGCGGTTGTCTTAAGGAGAGGGTCCTACCTCTAGGCATAGTCCCTTAGCCCAGAGCAGACCTAGTTTATAAATAAATCTATGCAAGGATGTAGCTGTAGACTGGATTTCCTTCCCCCCAACAGAATACATCACGGGGCTGATGAACTGGTTCAGCACTCAGCTATGTGAATGCACTGAAGCTTTCTCATGTTGTTGTATCCTGCTTGGCTACTCCTAACAGGTTTGGAATGATGAGTTTTTGTCCTGGAACTCTAGCCTGTTTGATGAGATTCAAGAAATATCTCTCCCTCTCAGTGCCATCTGGGCCCCTGATATCATCATTAATGAGTTGTAAGTGTTCTAGAGTTGTATTTCTGTGACCTTTGGGTTAATTCACCTGTTCAGGTCAAATGCCATTTATTTTCAGTTATTGTTATACTTTTGTTTTCTCCAGTTACTGGGGTCATACTATTGGGAATATTCAGGATGGAATTACCACGAGTTGACATCATTTAGGATACAGATTTGGAGGCTGGAGAGATGGCTTAGCAGTTAAGAATCTGTACTGCTTGGGTAGTTCATAACCTCCTGTAACTCATCTCCTGGGGATCTGATGCTCTCTTCGGGTCTCTACGGGTGGGCACCTGCACTCACATGAGCGTTCCATCCTTATGTACATATAATTTAAAATAAAATAATTTTTTAAAAAGACACACATTGATTAGTGGTGCTTGAAGTTAGTATTTATTCAGGTGAGTTAATTGATGAGACTTGTCATTTCCGAGAGTGTCTGTCAGGGTGAATCATCTCATGGGAAATATCATTCTATCCTTTTTCTTTTTCTTCTAAATCTAGCTTTGCATCTCATGGTCACTACCATCTCATAGTTAGTTCTGTGTATGTTTGGAAATGACTAAGGTCCTCTCCATAACAGGTTCCCTTGTGTTTCATATAGCGTGGACCTCGAAAGATCTCCCGACCTTCCCTATGTGTATGTGAACTCTTCTGGAACCATTAGTAACCACAAGCCCATCCAAGTGGTCTCTGCATGCAGTTTGCAGACATACGCTTTTCCATTTGATATCCAGAACTGCAGTCTCACCTTCAACAGCATTCTGCACACAGGTAAATGAACCACAGAGACACAGTCTTCTGGGAATACCTATGCTGTGTGGGCATACGTAGGTGAAATGATATCAACTTCAGATCTATTCTATTCTTATATATGGTTGATTGTTTAAAAAATCTAAACCTCAGCTGGATGTGGTAGTACCTAATTGAAATCCCAGCACTTTGGATGTGGAGGCAGGAAGATGAGAAATTCAAGATCCTTGGCTATAGAAAGAGCTTAAGACTGCCTCAAAATATGTATTATTAATGCTCAACATCCTGAGCCATCAGAGAAATGCAAATCAAACAACACTGAGATACCATCTCACTCCTATCGGAATGGCCAAGATCAAAAACACTGATGACAACTTATGCTGGAGAGGATGTAGAGTAAGGGAACACTCCTCCATTGCTGGTGGGAGTGAAAACTAATACAACAGCTTTGGAAATCAGTATGGCAGTTTCTCGGAAAATTAGGAATAAATCTAACTCAAGACCCAGCAATACCACTTTTGGGCATACATCCAAAGGATACACACTCACACCACAAGAATATTTGTTCAACTATGTTCATAGCAGCATTATTCATAATAGCCAGAACCTGGAAACAACCTAGATGCTCCTCACCAAAAAACAGATAAAGAAAATATTGTACATTTACACAGTGGAGTACTACTCAGCAGTTAAAAAAAAAAAGACATCTTGAAATTTGCAGGCAAATAGAGGGAACTAGAAAAAACAATCCTGAGTAAGGTAGCCCAGACCCAGAAAGACAAATATAATATGTACTCACTCATAAGTGGATATTAGACATAAAGCAAAGGATAATCAGCTTACTGTTCATGACCTAAAGAAGCTAGGAAACAAGGAGGACCCTAAGAGACACATACATGGATCCAGCTAGGAATGGGAAAAAAGATAAGATCTCCTGAGTAAATGTACAGCTAAATAAATTTATAGCTCAATAAAAATAAGAAAAAGATTTTTTAAAAAAGCAAAAAAAAAATTAAAAAGATGTATTATTGCAGTGGGTTTCTCTAGAATCCAGACAGGTACAATGTTAAGACCCACCAGTGCTGTTAATTTGTTATTATATCAGGATTCTATCATCATTGAGAATGTTCTAAAAGTCACAGGGCATGCTGTAGAGAGCAGGCTCCAACTCTAAATTCATAGTTTAATAAAGGATTAGAAATATTGTTATCTCCTGCCTCTACTCTGTAACTCAAATACCAATAATACTGTGTGTGTGGACAGGATAAAAGGAGGGGCGAAAGCTGTGGCTTGGGAAAGTGGGGGATGCTGGCTCCTCTCTCTCTCCCAGGAAGTTCATTGTTTCTGTTGTTTTTTAGTGGAAGACATAGATCTGGGCTTCCTGAGGAGTAGAGAAGACATCGAGAATGACAAAAGGTCATTTCTGAATGACACTGAGTGGCAACTTCTTTCAGTGTCCTCCACATACCACATCCTGCGGAGCAGCACTGGAAACATCGCTCAGATTCAGTTTAATGTAGGTACTCCTTTGTACCTGGTACCCACGTCTCCGTAGTCCTCGGCCTTCTCTATTGAGCTGTGCCATCTGCTCTATTGCATATCCTCATTATCACCTGGGAGCAGTGTGTTGAGATGGCCCATTCCCCTGTGCTGCAGTGTTTGAGAGCAGAGATCCCGGGCTACGGAGCTACCACCATAATCAAGGGAATCAGAGAGAATGGTGTGCAGACTCCAGAGTCTGACCCACCTTGTGGCTTACACAAACATTATCACTTCTAATTGCCACTGGGAATAAAGCCCAAAGCAGTGTACACACCATCAGCATTATAATGAATTGGGGAAAACAACAACAATGAAGAAACTGTCTCATCAACATAATTGTCCCATTTTTAATTGAGAAAATTATCAATTAATTTCAGAAGCAGATGCATAAAATGATCATATTACTAACTCGAATATCTAAAGGGATGAGCTGATAGTCATCTGCATGACCCATAGGAACAACGAGTGTGACTGGGGACGTAGCTGAGTTGGTGACTTAGGTGGATTCCCTGGGGTAGATCACTGGCACACATAAACCAAGCATGGTGACACACACCTAGGATACGAGCACTAGGAAGGTGGAGGCCAGAAGACTAGGATTGATTTTGAGGCCAGCCTGGGCTACATAAGACCCTGTTTTATAAAAAGAAAGGATAGGAAGGGAAGGAGGGAGGGAGGGAGAGAGGGAGGGAGGGAGGGAGAGAGGGAGAGAGGGAGAGAGGGAGGGAGGGAGAAAATACAAGAGAAAGAAGGAAGGAAGGAAGAGAAAGAAAGAAAGAAGGAAGGAAGGAAGGAAGGAAGAAAGAAAGAAAGAAAGAAAGAAAGAAAGAAAGAAAGAAAGAAAAGACAGACAGACAAATACAGATAGAGAAAGCAAGCTACTAGTGTGCTTCAAGATCTGAAGGGACAGCTGCTGACCAGGGCAAGGTGGAACCCATGGTGCTCTGATGTATCCCCAGCCAGACTGTACCGGGGAAATTGGCCTGTCTTGAGGAGTTCTGGGGGAAGGACAGTGGTGCTCACCACTTTTCCTGCAGAGCTTCTGCTCCTTTGGCTTTCCCGGCAAACCACCCTGCTATGCTCACAGGCACACTCCCACCACAGGTAGACTCTCAGAGCTAGAATTTGGCAGAGAGCCCTGCTTTACTGCACAAAGTGAAGGTGGCATTTGTGACAGGGTGGGAGGATGGTATTCACGACAAAGAATAAATCCGGTTGAAAAATAGATCACTGCAAACAGGTTAGGAGTGCACATGACATGGATTCCTCCAGAATCAGGCCTTGGGGATGAGGTGCCTGTAGACCAGACTGAGGGCCGACGAAAAGAGTGAGATCAGTCGTTCCTGATGGCGTGAGTGGCCTCCAGTGAATGAAAGGTGTGTGTTTATCTAGAAAAACTCCTGTCAAGCCAGAGCCTTAAAGCACTGACATTTGAACCTCCCTCATGGCTACTCCTTGGCTAGCAACTCATCGCAAAGCATGCCTGTGGAGCAGGAGATTTTAGACTGAAAGTCCCTCTAACTTACAATTCAACCGAGTGTCCATTGTGGCCTACCTGCCCACTCTTTCTTCTTTGTTTTGTGATCCTCGGGCTCAAACAAGGGCCTTGCTCACTCTAGGCAAGCACCCTACCACTGAGTCACATCCCCAGTTCTTGTCCACTTGATTTTTTTAGTAAGAGAAAGAGAGTAGGGGAAGAAAGCTTTTCTTTTCTTTTCTTTTTTTTAATTTCAATGAGTTTCTTGGCTAAGAGTAAACACCTCATTAATTTTAAAGATATCAGCCTGCAAACATTATTAATGCAGCCCAAATAATGGAGAGCATTAAAGGGAAATGTGAGGGAATGGCAAGTACACGGTGGAACCAGTCACCTACCAAGCACTCCACGGAGTGCTGCACACATCATTACCTACACTGCACGGAGACAAAGGCAAGAGACAGCAGGCAAATGGGAGTGTGAGTGTGGGTATACCCTTGTGGTGTGCTCTCTTGTTCTCTCTCTCTCTCTCTCTCTCTCTCTCTCTCTCTCTCTCTCTCTCTCTCCTCTCTCTCTCCTCTCTCTGTGCCATTACATGTCTCCCTTTCCCCTAAATATTAGCTTGTCTTCTTGCGAGCATCTGGGTCCATTCGCGATAGGAGAGAAGGTAAGCATTGCTTCATGGGAGGCATCCCTCCATGTAGGAACCATGGTCCATTTCCTTTGCCCTCTTCATCATCACTTTCCTCTCTGGTATGGTGTTTCTATGGAGGCATGCCTGAGGTAGGGATACATGTGTTTGACTTCATGTCCTGGAAGTTTTCTCCAAGGTGTCTTTTCCCTGGGGACCAAGGTGGATTACATGGAAAGGCAAGCTATCACCTGATTCTCTGGAACAAAATCCCACAAAAAAATCCTGAGTAAAGTTACAGATCATTTTAGCCAGACTCAGAAGTGATCTTGCAACTTTGGAAAGAGTCACATGTTCTAGAACTCTCGCTGGTTTCATCTCCCAACCTCCATACCTTCCCCATGGCTGCTGCCATGTGCCCCATGCCTGGCTTCATTGTTTTCATACCATATAAGACATTCTACATTTAGCATCTAAGGCATCTTGGCGTCATTCAAGAGCCCTAGGCCAGTGTTGTCGTATGGGGAATTCAGTTCTGTGCCAACAGTGCACTTGTTGGTGTCCTCACAGTAAAGGACCATCTCTTCCTCTTAATCTAATCACCTGCTTGCCCCAGACCAAGCTGGGAACAGTTGGAACAGGCAAGAGAGACAACATTCTCTTCTAAACACAGCAATGCTAACACACAGGACTACCACTACAATTTATCTGGCATCAAATGCTCAGAATGCCATTAACTTCAGCTAACACAATCACAACCACTAGTTCTGAGACATGTGCTGTTCATCACAGGGTACCACTGATGCTTTAGAATCCAACTACATTCCACAGGGGGTCCAGACAAAGCTCTTCTCCATGTAAGGATGTTTGTGTATAGCCTGGGACCTAATCCAACAGCCATGGGAAGGGAGATTACTTCCAATACATTATTGGAGGTGCTGGTTCCCAGAAAATAGCAGGATGGACATTCAGTTTCTGTATGACCTTGTAGGAGTGGGCAGAGGTAGGGAGAAAATCTAGAAGTCATTTTGGGTGGAAAGGGCTGATCAAGATGCTTTGACACTGAGTGAAGGACTCACCAGGCACTCACAGAATACTGGGGGAATGAAAAGGGAATTTGGGAAAGAAAGATACCCCACTCTCTTTTTTTCTATAATGATTCTCATGTCTTGTCTAGATTAGGGTGATTTTTATTGAGATTTCCATTGAATGCTCCAAATTTAGGATCCAAGGCACTCTGGTGTCCTTCAAAAACTCTTGATCAGTAAAGTGAATGCAGTTCATACTTGACAGGATAGCCTTCCAAGGAGGAGGAAGGAGGGAGAGAGAGAGAGAGAATAAAGGAGGAAGGGAGGGAAGGAGGGAGGGGGGAATCTTAAGTTCTAGAATCATCCTAGGTTTACTCAAGGAAAACCAGAATCACAAACTTTCTGCTAATCCAGTCCAACCCACAGTCTACGTCCCCAAAGCCCTCACTCTGGTACAAGGCTCTCACTTAAATGGCAACAACTTTCCCATTCCTTCTGAACAAGGGGTATGAGGAAGGACTTGGGAGGGGAGAAAACCAGGCTTCTGTATGGTGCCTGAGTCTAGGCGTCAAAATTCCAAGTATGTCATAAAGACGGTCATGCAAAATTGAGTACTGGTAGGGTCTACCATCAAGAAGGCAATTAGAGACTAACCTTGGGGCCTATTCCATCTCCAAGGAGCTCTCCACACACACATTCTGAATTAGATTGATCTCTTTCATTAACATCAATAGGCTCCAAATACCTTTGTGTACTTATTATTACCTGGCTTTAATGGATAATGAAATTGTGGCATAATATTGCTAACACCTGAAGGGTGTCTAATGGAGAACACAGGCTGAAACTAAAGTGCCTTTTCTTCCCTTTCTGTGGAATTTAAAGAACCAGCTCCTCTAGTCCATTAGGAACGATGGGCTCTGGGTAGGATAGACTTACAGAGAACAGTGTCATACTGAGCAGGTGATGCATTCCTCTGAGCAGGAGTCTCGGGTTCTCATGTGATCTACGAGAGGATGTCCATATGAAGACTGACCCCAATGGGATGACCACCATTTGGTCTAATCTCACATCCCCAATCTATTGAAAGTAAAGGTGGCATTGTTAATAAGACCCCAGTGTAGTTCAGTGAACATCTTTTCAGCATCAATGGTTATTGGAGCTTGATTTCTGTTGCCGGGCAAAGTTGTGTGACCAAAAACTTCTTGTGGAGGAAAGGGTTCATTTGGTTCATACTTCTAGGTTACAACCTATCATCGAAGGAACTCAGGGCTGCAAACTAAGGTAGAAACCATAGAGGAACTCTGCTTGCTGGTTTGCTCCCTGGTTTGTTCATTCCCAGGCTCATGCTTAGCTACTTTTCTTATACAGATCAGGGCCAGGGATGGTGCCACCCACAATGGGCAGGGCCCTACTGCATCAAGTAATAATCAAGACGATATCTCACAGACATGCCCACAGACCAGTCTGATCTAGACAAGGTTCTCCTCTTGAATGGCTCTAGGCTGTGTCAAATTAACTATTTAAGCTAACAAGGACAATGACAAACATATAAGGTACAGAGGTAAATAAGAAAGATTCTTGGTATCTATCATAGACATCAAAATCCACCCAAGGAGCTGTAGTTCATTCAATAGGGTATTTGTCTAGCATACAGGAAGTCCTAGGTTCAACCTCTGCATAAAATAGTGCTAAGCTTAGGAAATCTTTAGTGTCATCATGCAAATGAGACAGGGACTGGTTTTGGTTCATTCTGGAGTAAGTTTTCTTTCTGCCCCATAGACTTACCACACATCAGTCACCAGAGTTTGGTTCCAGAACTCATAAGACCAGTCAAGGATGGGGACTTGCCCTACTCTTGGCACAATATCTCTAGTATTTATAGTAGTGAGTTAACCTCTTCATGCTCAATGTTTGTTGAACAAAGGAAAAGAAAGCTGAAGATTGGCTGAGATAACAATAAAAATTTCAGAAAGCAAAAATAAAATTAGATGTAGCTTTTGATTTTGCGTCATTTTTTGGCTGTACCAGGCTTGTAGAGAACATTAACTTAATCCTTAGAAGGCATTGACTCTAAAGCAAAGAAAAAGGTAGGTCCTTGTTCTAGAAGAAACCCCAGACTATGATACTACTTGGTTTCTGTTAGGAATGGTAACATCCTTGCTAAAGACAGGAGAATATACATGAGGTAGTTTTAGAAGGCATAGTCAGCTTCCAGTTTTGTAAGATAGATGGAAACATGGAAGTTTCTTTGTTTTATGTCACAGCAGAAGCTAATTACCTAATAGGCTACCTGTGTCTTTTCCTTCTGCTTCCAGTGTCAACTGAGACCCTGTGAAGGTCCTTCCAAGTTCAGGATCATGTATAGATGCACAGGTCAAATGCCTACAAGCCTCACAATTCTTCTCAGACCTCTCTTAACCCCCAAAACCTTGGGAACCTTTAGCCTGATAAGTCTGTACTTTCTTGGAAATCACGGTCTTTGAGGAACCACACAACTCACCTTTGGTTTCAGCCTAGATTTATGTTTTATGTCTGCATCTGGGTGGAGAGGAATCATCTCTATCTGTGCTAATTACACCTGAACCTTATTTTGAAGCACAATAGCTCAATTGTACCTCAGCTGTTAGGCAAGACAAAAGTACCCTGATTCTTAAAAAAAAAAAAAAAAGAGGGAGAGGAGCTGAGTAGATAGCTCAGTTGATAGAGTGCCTGGCTTGAAAACAGAAGGACCTGAGTTCAATCCCCAGAACATGAAAGGCTGGTGTGATCATGGGGAGGTAGAGGCAGGCAGATCCCTGGGGCTCCCTAGCTAGTCAGCTTAGTGTGTTTAGTAAGTTTCAAACTGATGACAGACACTGTCTAAAAGAATTAGGATGATTCCTCTAGAATAACACCTAAAGTTTCTCTCTAACCTCCACATACACACATTCATAGGTATACAACACACCCCTCACATACATACATACACATATACAAAAGAAAGGAAGAAGGAATTGAGGCAGGGAGGGGTTGGCTGCCCCATTCAGGATCACATAGATTTACATACATAGGCTCTATTCCTTGACTACAGATCTGGGCCCCTCCCCTTTGTGCTTGTGCTCTTCTTTTCGGTGATACTCATAGACTTTCCCCCATCTCATGCAACCTCTGCCATGAAGTCTCCAGGGTAATCCCATTTCTTCCTCCTACCTGATCAGGTATGACCCCTTCAGCCCCCACTCTAAGGGACCAGATCACCAGCATCCCAAACTGGATCACAGCATAAACTCCCAGGGTGGTGGGAGGAAGGCCACTCTTCCTCCCTCCACCACCTCCCAAGGCTATCTCCATGAGAGCCCAACAAAGCTGCAGGTTGAAGGTAGTTCACTGTGTTGGTTTTTTTCCTGTTGACTGCGCTTTGGTAGAAATGTGTTTTAACCAAATTATTGCAAAGCAATGTGTGTTGCACTGGTGTAGATATTTGCAGCCAATTATGTTTAATGTGGAAGACAACAGCCAGACTACAATCCACCGAACAGCTCTGGCCTGCCAAGCTCCACTGGGTTGGGACATGTTCCCAGATCTGATGACTAGGGAGCCTCAGCTCTCATCAACAAGGTGTGTGAACTTCCCCAGCCAAGCTGCCCCGCCCCACTCCATCACTGGCCTCTACCTCCTCTCTGTGTTCTTTTTTGTACTTTTCTCCTAGAGAGAGAGAGAGAGAGAGAGAGAGAGAGAGAGAGAGAGAGAGAGAGAGAGAGAGAGAGAGAGAGGGAGGGAGGGAGGGAGGGAGGGAGGAGAGAGAGAGAGAGAGAGAGAGAGAGAGAGAGAGAGAGAGAGAGAGAGAGAGAGAGAATAAATGTCTCCTGTCTCCTCTCTTCCACATCTGCACAGATCCAGATTTGTAGCTAGGCTGTTGCTGAAGAGTGCAAGGGATCAGAAGATGCAGGGTTACATCACAGCTGGGCCACTGACTTTACTTACGGGTGTAGTGTTTTGAAAATCTATGAGATGGAGGATGTTATCTATCCAACAGGTTGATGATGAGAATAAAATAAATAACATGATGAATGTAAAAGCATCTAGCACACGCTCTAACACATAGAAAGTAGTCAAGGGTCGCATTGTCTGGCAAATCCAAGAAGTGGGAGTTATTAAGCAGTGTTCTGGGGCAAATCCAACAGCAAAGGGACCAGGATGCTGGTTTGCCTCATCAAGCTCTACTTATGTTCACCACAAGAGAAATCTTATTGTTAGCCCTGAGATGAGGCCTTGATCTTGCTTCTACCTCCCGAATGCTTGGATTACAGTTGTATACCAGCACACCCAGTTTTATGTGCTTTTGGACATAGAATCCAGGACTTTGTACATGTTGGTCAGGCACTCTATCAATGGAGCTACATCCCCAGGATATAAGTCCAGCATTGGTAGACAGAGATGGACAGATCCAGAGATCTCATGAGCAAGCCAGCCTAGCCAAAGTCTGGTTTAGTGAGATACCCTGTTTCAGGCAATGAGGCAAAGAATAACAAAGGAAGACACCTGGCATCCTGCTGTGGTTTGTGTATTCATATAAACACATATGTGCAGGCACACACACACACACACACACACACACACACACACACACCATTATCAGGTCTCTGTGAAAACTTTCCATCTTTTTGAAATGCAAAATAGCCGTGTGTGTGTGTGTGTGTGTGTGTGTGTGTGTGTGTGTGTGTGTGTTGTTTATATAGTCCAGACTGGCTTCCAACTCATAGCAATCCTCCTGCTTCAGCTCCCTACATTCTGAGATTACAGGCATTTACCAGCACACTCAATTGCCTCAAATACATTCCTACCATAAACTATATAGCCATTTTGCATTACACACAAGATCTGGGACTTAAGGACTATGGACTCAACCAAGTGTTAGACCATTTGCTTGGACTGAACAGTTTCCTTGTCTTGTGCTAGGTGGTGATTCGCAGACGCCCATTGGCCTATGTTGTGAGCCTCTTGATTCCTAGCATCTTTCTGATGCTTGTGGACCTGGGGAGCTTCTACCTGCCCCCCAACTGCCGTGCAAGAATTGTATTCAAGACCAATGTGTTGGTGGGCTACACAGTCTTCAGGGTCAACATGTCTGACGAGGTGCCGAGGAGTGCAGGATGCACGTCTCTGATTGGCAAGTGTCATTGGACACCCTCCTAGACCACTCCTGGCCAAAATCTGGTGCTGCACATCAGATGGTAGACTAGAGCTAAATCCCCTTTCTCTGCTCTGGTCCTTCCCCAGGGGTCTTCTTTACCGTCTGCATGGCCCTCTTGGTTCTCAGCTTATCCAAGTCCATCTTGTTGATCAAATTCCTCTACGAGGAGCGGCACAGTGGGCGAGACAGGCCTTTCCTTTGCCTTGGAGGAGACTCTGATGCCAATGAGTCTAGATTGTATCCTAGGGTTCCGAGTGCTGAGACAACAGGTAAGAAGCCTTGTGATCCCCATCCTGTTTGCTTTGTCATGCTGAGCACCTGGGTTACCTGGGGAAGCATCGGGCCAACCTTGGCCTGTGTGAGTAATGGGAAACACCTGCTGGAGGTCATTTTAGCTTGAAGGTGAAGTCTTTAGTCACCTCTAGTTTACTTCATTTCTACCATAGTGACTGAGCTACGAATTTGAACACTGTAGAATTCTGGCATACAAGCACACTTGCACATACAGACACATAGACACACACACACACACACACTCACATACATACACACACACACACACCATACATCTCACTATGCACACATCACCCCACATATACACACACGTATACACACATACCACATATCACACTCTATGTACATCACACTACACATACAACACATCACACTATACATACACATCACATTACACACACATATACACATATACCACATCATACTATACACAACGCACACATCACACTACACACACATACTACACACAAAGGTGGAAAGCAATATGAATAGTTGGGTTTTGGTTGCTTTATAAGAAGAAGTTTAAAAACTGTCCTAGCTCAGGAGATCTCCTAGAAAGATCTAGCTTACACATATATCCCCCTTGATATGTACAGCTCTGCCATTTTATCTGGGCCTTCCCTCAGCATAGCTGTGCCTCTCCTAATCAGATACGGTGAAAGTCCCCAACCCCAGCAACGACCTTTCCTTGAAGAATAAGAACAAGTGCTCCCAGTTCATTTAGAGTGTTTTCCTCGTCACACAGGGTCCCCGGTCCATGAGGAGCACCAGGTTCAGCCAGATAGCCTGAAGGAAGCTTGGCTCCAGCTCCAGTCCATCAACAGCTCTCTCCGAACCCGGGATCAGGTTCACCAGAAGGAGGTGGAGTGGCTGGCCATCCTGTACCACTTTGATCAGCTGCTCTTTCGAATCTACCTTGCTGTACTGGGGCTCTATACTGTCACCTTGTGCACTCTCTGGGCACTATGGAGCAGAGTGTGACCATGGAGACTGCCGGTCTCACTTGATAGGGGTCACAACACTTAGGGAAAGCTGAACAGTGTTTGGAGAGGGATTGAAGGGGAAAGAATGAGTAGGCTTAAAAAATGTCTCCCAAACTCCATTGTCACATTTTAATGACTAGAGTAGTATCTTATTGGTTATTGACCGAACCAGTAAACATAAATGCTCATAATAAAGATATTTAAATAGAATAGAATATACAGTAATGAGCAAGCTTTAGCTTTCCCTGAGCCATCAGTAGCAACTATATATACTTAGGCTTAAGCAAAAAAGTTTGGTTTTAGATTTTTGGAGCAGGGTCTCTTGTAGTCTAGGCTAAGCTTGAATACTAGGCAGCCAAAGATGACCTTGAACCCTTGATACTCCTGCCTCTACCTTCCAAGTGCTGAGATTGTATGTACTGTGCCACCATGCCCAGCTCCATTTGATGTATCCTGCTTTAACAATCTATATGTCAACTTGGCCTTGAGCCCTGCTCAAAACAACTTAATTCCTCCAGGATCATCAATCTGTCTCCTCAATTCTGTCTTTGGTCTCATGTTACCTTATATCCTTCTACCTTTAAATATTTGACAGCCTCTTTAATGCCTGGTTCTATTACAGTTTACCCAGGAGACCTTAAATTTCACTTCTCAGACTTCAGTCTGCCTTATTTAAAGTAGGGACTGTTAATAATTACTCTCTCCATATCGTAGAATTATGAGAGCAAAATAACAACATTTTGAAAAATAAATAATAGATGACAAAAATAAATCTGAGACATGCCGGCTATCAACAGAGACGAACTCTGGCCTGAGTCTTTGGTGTGAATGCAGGCGTCTGGCTTTCCGTTTGCGCCTTCTGCTTCCCCCATACCTGTCCCACCCAGGTCCATGGACTTCCTCATGTGAGGACTCTGCAGTAGCAAATGCAAGCACCTCATTCCTGCTTGAAGGACTCATATCTGATGTGCTTTCCCCAAGTCGGAGGGACAAAGTCTACCCAAGGTCAGATAGCCAGGCCCCAGCCATCCACATCTCCAGCCCTCCCCGAGGGTAGTCTTCAGGAGGGCAGAAAGACAGAGCAGGGCTTAGAGACAGCCATTCGTCTGGATGCTGCCAGCACAGGCCATGAAAGTCCAGAGCTATTTTCTAGGAACCTATTCCAGGACTAAAATTGCATTTAAAAAAAAATCTGCCCTCCCATCCCCACCCTGGAGAAAAAGAATTTAAATTCCAGCAGCCTTTACCTGCACCCTCCCTCTTTCATTACCTCCCAGTTAGTACTCAACGCCAATTGCCCATGAAATTCCACCGCTGCCGTTAATGAAATGGGGAACGCAAAAAGTTTGTGAACAGGAAGTGGCCATGCAAGCTCCACCTGTTTCCTTCTCCGCTTCCTACTTTCCACCCCTGTCCTCCTCTGCCTCGACGGTGCTCTGGGTCAGCCTCTACATTGATTCTGGCCTTCTCCACTTCCTCCCCCTGTCAACAGAGGGGAAGGCTGTGGAGCCTTCTCCTCCCTAACTGTGTGCCGGAGAAAGTGCCAGAGTCAGAGCCAGGAGGTCTGATTCCTGTCCTAGTTCCATCATTGTTTACCCAGGGGAGCCTGAACTTCATTTCTCAGACTACAATTTGACTTACTTGAAATTGATGCTATAAATATTTACTATCTCCATGTCACAGAGTTCTGAGAGCAAAATGAAGCAGCTTAATGACATTTTAAAAAGTCAATAACAGATGATAAAATAAACAGGGGCCTGCCTGCTATCAACAGAGAGAGAGGTTCCGGTCTAGAGCCTTTGTTGTGGGATCTGATTTCCAGCGATCTCCAAGATTTAAGTATGGACTCTGCCTTTCCCAAGGAGTGCCCTTGTTATAACAGGATCTAACGTTCAAGGACTGATGCCATCAACTGTCCGCTTTGTAGTGAAGGGCCCCGAAAGAGACATCCTGTCTAGCTTACTTTTACTGCCATCCCAGTTACTCAGGCTCTTTATAAGATTCTTTAAGAAGCAGTCCTTCCTCAGTGGAACCCTAGCACTAACTAGACTCCCTCTGTCTAGAGTTCCATAGCCCTGATATCAGCTGGCAGCCCCAGGGCCAGTTCTGAAGCCCAAAGCATTAGCGTTATGAGCACATGGCTCTACAAATCTCTTAAGAGGGTGTGCTTTGCCCCGGAAGGAACATGGTGGCCAGAAGCCCTGATTTACAGAACAGTTTTAGCTTAGTCCTTTCACATGCTCATCCTTTTCATGAGTTTTGTTTCAGAGAGGAAGGAAACTGAGGAACAGAAAAAAAAAATGGGATTCTCCCAGCTGTGACTGCTCCTGCCATCTGATGCTCCCCATAACCTAGGAAATCACAGTTCCAGGGTGATGTCCAGAATATGGAGAAAAGCACAGGTCTCAGGGTAGCCAAGAAACCTCTATTTCATCCTAACATCCCAAGATTACTTTCAGAGGGTTGCTGTGGTGACCCTCCTGAGCTCTGTAGCCTAGTTTGTTTGTTCATTTGATTGTTTCCTTGTGGTTTGTTTTGTTTCCTTGTCTTGAAACTTTTAAAGATTGAGACTCATGCAGCCCAGGCTCACCTCTAACTTGCTATTCATCTGAAGACGACAGTGATCTTCTGATCCTCCTGCCTCTACCTCCTAAATGCTAGGATTATAGGCATGCATCACCATACCTGGTTTTATATGGCACTGAGGAATAAAGCCAGGGCCCTGTGCATTCTAGAGAAACACTCCACCAACTGAACCACACAGAGAGTGCTCCTTGCATCCAAGGACACCCCTGCTGCCTTTTACAGACATTCTAGAGGGGGAGTAGAAAAAGAAGCCACGTCTTTTAGCATTGAAATCTCCATACATAGCAAGTCTCCTGTGGTATCACTCCCAAGGTAAGAGGGTGAGTGCCAGGGGTCACAGTAGCCATGAAAGGAGTGTGGCTTCAAGACAGAGCCCTTGGATGGCAGTTAGCCCAGGACAGACTCAAGTTCTTACATATGTACGTTTACTCTGGGAAGGATGGGCCTACTGCTACCCCTTGAATGCCCGCCCTCTGTCCAGGAGCCCCACTCATTCCCCCTGCAACCTTGTCTATGCCTACATCTATTCCCATCTTGTCTCTGTCCTGTTCAGTCCCCCGGCTCTGACTCCTTGGATGGTGCTATTGCACAGTTCTGAGTTATTTACCTGCAGAGACGGTGAAAACTTCATAATTAGCTGAGCCCCAGCATGAGGCTTTTATGAGCAGCCGCGTCCCCCATTGCTCTCTGCTGTCCATAATTGAAATGACCCACACCAGTGATTAGATTAGGGGGCTGAAGGAGCCCAGCATGACACCCCCATCCTCTCCCCTGTCCTGTTGGGGAAGTGATGTAGTTAAATTTGTGCTTCATTTGGCAGAGGCCATAAAGCGGAATCGCAGAGCAGCTTTCTGCAGGGGCTGGAAGACACTGCTGGGTGGTGAGCAGCGGGCTCAGCACTGAGGGTGGAGGGAGCCACTTTCTCACCTTTCCCTTGCTTTCTTACCTCTCCTGCAGTCCAGCATGGAGTTCCAAAGACCTAGGGCTCACCTGAGCCACATAGGGATATTGGCTATCCTGAGTGTCACTGGGGACCAGGCTGTGTGCGGACAGCCAGCCTAGGATTCACTCTGTGCCTGGTCTCCCCAGTCACCTGCTCATCCTCTTCCCAGAGCTCCAGGCTGAGAGCCAGGAAAAGCAGGTGCTGCTGGTGGATTTTCTTTCCCTGCTCACTTGGCCAGTCTTGGCTTCTCAGCTCCAGGGCCAGTAGAAGCCTTCTTCTTCAGAGGCGTGTCTCACTGCAGCCCCATCCCCTGGCTCATCCTTTAGAGCAGAAAAATGGAATTTGGTAGACGGTACACTAGCTGAAGTCTGTCTAAGTGCCCTCTGGCTCCTTCCTCCTCCCTGTTGTAATTTAAGAGAGAAAGATGCCATGCGACAGGGTTCAAGTAGAGGGATTTGTTTTTTATTAAGGAAAGGGATCATAAAAAGGGGGAAAGGGAAGGGGGAGATCAGCCTCCGGAGACAGAAGTAACAGGAGGAGGAGAAAGGAAAGAGGGGGAGAGAGAAGAAAGAGGGAGGAGGAACAGACAGAGAGAGGGAGAGAAAGGAACAGAGAGAGAAGGATGGGAGGTGGGCAGGGCCCTTTTAGAAGGGAACGTAGTGACTATGCACAGGTGATGCTCTTAGTGGCTGCAGTTGAGGCCGCATCCTGTCAGAACCGTAGGACAGGCCAGTATAGGTGCCTGAAGACTAACACTCCCCACCAGGGCCATCTCACCATCCAAAGGACCCCTCCCCGTTGAGTTTCTCTTCCCCAAAGTTACCTTCGTGGATGTTGTACACCCAAACACATCAGCGTCTCTCTACCTGGATCATGGAGCACAAATGCTGCAAAACAAGTTCACACCAAATTTTCAGTCTAGAGAGGCTGCATCCCACCAGGGACTGAGCAGTGTGCCAGGTACATGCAAAGTCAAAGCCAGCACATTCACTTTCCTCAATGGTATACTGAAAAAAAAAAAAACAGACTTCATGAAATGGGAGGGGTTGTCTTAAGTTTAGACATATTTTATTTGTGTGTGTATGTACTTGTCACAAGAGTCAAACTCAGGTTTTCAGACTTGGCAACAGGCTCCATTGTGCTACCTAGCCAGCCCAGTATCTCTGCTTCAAAATACAATGTATTACAGTGGACACGGTAATGCACATATGTAATCTCAGCACTCAGGAGAAGGCAGAAACAAGAGGCTTGGGAGGCTAACCTAGACTACACTGTGACATTCTATCTTTTTTTTTTTTTTTTTTTTTTTTTTGGTTTTTACGAGACAGGGTTTCTCTGTATTGTTTCGGAGGCTGTCGGTCCAGCCCGGCCTTGAACTCACAGAGATCCGCCTGCCTCTGCCTCCCGAGTGCTGGGATTAAAGGCGTGGGCCACCACCGCCCGGCATGACATTCTATCTTAAAAGTAAGTGCCACAGAGGGTTAGAGAGAGAGAGATCAATGGTTAAGAGTACTTACCGCTCTTGCAGAGGACAAGCATGCAGGTAAACATGGCACGCATAGCCACTTATAACTTCAGTGCTAGTGGATCTGACTTCCTCTTCAGACTCTGCACTCTCCCATATGCATGTGATGTGCATACACCTATCCAGGCACACACACACATACATATAAAATAGATAAGTATTTGCTAAATAAACACTACAGTGGATTAGTTGAAAACCTAAGCCACAGTGTGATCTGCAGATCAGGAACTGACTACCAGGAAAGATATTTTATTGTGCATGGTCCCTGTGGGTGGGGCCGTACTCCATCATAGTGGAGAGGGAGCCGTGTATATACCAGAAAATGGCTCAGCTTCATCCCAGGGACAGAGGCAAAGGAAGGAGCAAGTTCTCTAACCATGTTTTCTGCAAGAAGGAATGGAGGAGGGGCATAGACGGCACTGGCTTGGAATGGTTTCCATGGCTATCAAGGGTGTCAGATCTCCTGGAACTGGGTTTACTGACAGTTGTAAGCCCTCATGTAGGTGCTGGGAATTGAACCGAGGTCCTCTGGAAGAGCAGCTTGAAGACCTCCCAGTAGTCTCTATCTGTTTCAAGTTTCCACCCAATCCCAGTAGTATGATTCTAGGGCCCAAGCCATGAATACTTGCAACCCTAGGGAATACAGATGCAGGCTACTACAATTCAGACTCAAATCTGAGCACTGGATCTAGACCCACAACCTCAGACAGCTCACCAC